GAAACTCAAAACATGCTCCCTAGAATCCAAAGAAACAAAAGCTTACAAGAATAAAGCCTTTGGGATCAAAATCCAAAAATTTTCTCTTCCAAAAATTGAAGAAAATCAAGAGAAAGAGAAGAGGATTGAAGTAGGGAGTTTACCTATCGTGTAGCCGAGCTCGCAACGGTCGCAAAGACTCCTAGATCCAAGCCTAACTCCCTCCCTTTCTCTTCTCTTCTTCCTCTCTCCCTCTCATACGTTTCCTTTCCTTTCCTTTCCAATTCAATTTCTGCATTTCTACATCAATTTTGGTCTTTAAATTGCTGGTCAAAAAGTTTGGGGAAAATTACAAGAAGGGCCCAACATTTTTTATTATTGCACAAAAGCCCGGGTCAACTTTGGTAATTTTTTCCCATAGTTAAAAATCAAATAAAACCAAACTTTTGCTTAGTAAAATTCAAACTCTGGGCCTCTATTAAATTATTCTAAATTTTAATTTAATTATAGATATTTTATTTTATTTTTATTTTTTTTTTTAAATAAATTTGAGTCTTAAAATTTTTAGGATGTTACATCTTGCCATTATGTCCAGCCTCCTCACATCTTGAATAATGATAAATTTTATTTTATTTTAATTTGCAATGAACAAACTAATTTAGGTAAAAGTATACATATAGAAATCCAACTTTTATTTTACACAACTCAAAGTTCAACATGAACAACTCAAAGTTCATTTTTGCACAACAGATACTCCTAACATCTTTGAAAGCAGATTTTCTTCACATTGGGAGTCATATTTTATTCAATTCAAATGTCAAAGTCCAATATGAACAAGTCAACCATCACTATTGTATAACAACTAATCCACTTTAAAACTTTCATAGTCAACTTAATGGTTTAGCAACCTTTAGCTTATATCAACAAATTAGGTTTAATAAAATACGCAAGTAGGCAAACAATGTATAACACAATATCCACTATGCACAACATAAAGTTCATATATTCTCAATTAAAAATTCATATGATTCTACTTTATTAGTAGGCTAGGCTTAATAAAATGCTCAAGTTAGACAAATAGTGCACAACACAATATCCACTATACACAACATAAGGTTCATATATTCTCACCTGAAAGTCATGTGATTCCAATTTACCATTAGGCTAGGCTTAATAAAATGCACAACTCAATGTTTAACAACTCAAAGTTCATTTTTGCACAACAAATACTTCAACATTTTTAATAGTAAATTTTCTTCCTATTGGATCATATTTTATTCAGTTCACCTATAAAAGCCCAATATGAATAAGTCAACCATAATTATTGTACAACAACTAATCCACTCTAAAACTTTCATGGCCAAAAATGATTCAGCAACATTTAGCTCATATTAGCAGTAGAATTGCAAATAAACAAATAAACTTGCAAGCTTAAATATCTGTGCTTCACTTGAGATACTTATTACAACTTCAATAACTAAAAGATATAGATGCTTCGAATCAATGAGGGAGAAATGAAATTGAAGATCCTTACCTCTAAACAATAATGATAGAAGTTTTAAGAAACAGATGATGTTGCTCGAATAAGGAAGATGAAGAAGATTAGCAATGGTTGGTGATGTGTAAGGAAAGAGAGGAAAAATTGTGAACTGTTCTCCATCTTACCTACGACTTCTACACTCATCCATGTCGGTGAAGATCAACAATGGCAGAGCGATGATTGGTGAAATGAGAAAGAAGACAAGAAAAACAGTGAACCGTGCTTCGTTTGTTTTGTTTCTTTAAGGGTTCATGAATCATTTTTTATTCAAATTAAACAAAGGGCAAAATTATATTTTTGGTGTGAAACAACATTACAATTGGGGCCCCAAGGCCTGCGGAGCAATATTAAATTTGTTTAGGCCCTAAGTGCAATAAAGTCCATTTTTAGGGTCCTTAATGCCATTTCCCCTAGTTTAAATTCATATAGTATCCACTAACATCATGGGAGGCCCTGGTATTTAGTTTATTATTTTGGCAATCCCATTATCACCTTTAAGGGTGTAGGCTAGGGCATCCTACACTCTAATATTTAAGAAGAGAGAATATATAATTTGAAGGTGATCATGGAGTGTAAACCCCTTCAAAATAATAGTTTTTATCTTTAATTACAATATTATTAATGTGTATAAATAAAGATGTTAAAAATAAAAATTTTCATCTTGAAAAGAATGAGAGAATTATAAAAGTTTTTTGCTTGTTTTAAAATGTATCTTTATTATTACTAAATTAATAAAATTTAGAAATATATATTTATGTATATATTTATTAAGAAGGGAAATTAAAGAAGATTAAGTTTATTCACTAGATCTTAGACAAATTCTCCAAAAATTACTTGAAGTCTTGCATTATCAAAAACTTATTTTATAAAGTATGTATTATAATGTTAAATATAGGTATGTAGTAAATATTATGCTATTACGTTCTTTTCAAAAAAAAAAAACTTATATAATATGTCACTATACTAGAAGGATATTTAATTCAAATATACCAAGCATTCTAAACATATAAATAATACTAATACTAATTGTTTCTTTAATTAAACGTGTCTATAATAATCATAGAAAAAAGAAATAATTTAAAGGGTAATCTTATAATTCATATAATATATTTACGATAGTATTAACAATACAATCATCCCAATTACATCATAATTCCAAAAATCATATATAGTCAAGTAGTGGACTGAAGCCATTTTATTCTATATAATACAAGTATTTATAAATTTAAGAACTTGGCTGGTCCGTATTAATGTCTCTAATAATCTTCAACAAGTCTTCATTCCAATTGATGTGAATCATAGGAGTTAACACTCTCATTGATGGCACTAGCAAGTCTTCCAATGGAGGGATAGCATATCAAACTACTGATGGAGTGTATAATTCATTAAATGGTGGTAGATTAATTGGGGTAGTGGTGGTAGGGGTGGATTGACCAACACATTAGTAATATTATGGATACTTATATTACAAACAACTAAGAAACTCCCTCTCTCAGGAATGTGAAGAGCATCCCATTTGATTTAAACTACTATTTTAGTTTCTAGCATTTGAACATTATGCAACAAGGTGAGTGATATAAAAGATTAAAGTTAAACTAATAATGTTCAGCTGCTTATTAACTAGAAAATATTTTCTTCTCTACATCAGAAATATATGTGAGTATGCAATGGAAAATTATAAGCATCCATATATAGCATGAAGCATAACCAGAGTGTCCCTCAATGTAGATCGACATAATAAATCTCACCCCATTTTTACTTAGATTTTTCTTTCCAGGTTATCTCAAGGATGCTAGCATACAACAATATAATTTTCTATGCATATTCCCATATAAATTCTTTTTTAATAGAATTTAATATTATAAAATTTGTAATATAGTTCATTTTACAAGTATACTACATAATGCAATTAGTGCTAATCAAGTATGATATAATGCAAGTATGATCTTTTATGAAAAACATATGATCATTTGTAGTAACATAATTCTTCAATCCACAGTAGTGATTACAAGAATTGTAAATTATATATATATATATATATATATATTAGAGACAATAAGGCGTATAGATAATGCATTTGGATAGTGCGCGCGCGCATGCACTAGTGCGTGTATGGGTGTGGGTGTGCGAATGGTGTATGTGTGAACGCTCGAATTTCATAGTTGAAAATAGTCATATTATAATGTCCTTTACCAACATTATCATGCACTCCACTACAATCTTGCCGATCAAATTGAAATCATTTACTTACATCGAAAGCCTTGGGGTCCCAATAAAAGATTTCTAGAAATTATTTTATAAATCACTCAAAACATATAACATTACACATGGCGGAAGCAATTTCTAAGGATACATTTAAGTCTTAGAAAAACATGTGCAAAACTGAAAAACAAAGTGAAATTTGGCACCATGCGTCGTGGCTCGTGTCACATGTGCCACAGCATGCGGCATAAGGACCACAATTGCTCACTCTGCACCGTGCACTGTGGCATATGGGTACATGCGTTGTGGCACATACACATGAATTTTGTTGTCAAATGACAATTTCTAATATGAAATTCAGTTGCACGCCATTTTCACATACGATGTCTGATTGGTATAGTTCAAGCGCCTACACGAAGCTTATTTCAAAATTTAACTAATGACACTAGTTTTATTTCAATCCAATATCTCTATCAAAAAGTAAACACCTAAGTGCATTTTGATTGTTTTCTGCCAAAATCTTTCGACTTAAGTGTCTTAATTCGAAACAAATTGTCATTAGCCACTTTTTGAGCCTTGACTAAGTCCAAATAGACAATACATACTTGATTGACCACACATATACACAATATATCACACATATATATATATTTGGTCTGTAAACTACCCATTTCACACTTTGGGTGAAAATCACATTTTCACTTTTTTTTTTAAATCTCATACAAGGCCAAATCACTACATATACTCTTCAACCATCTCATGTTCACACACATATGCACTTATCCACTAGCCTATCCATTCATTTCATTTTTCACACATACACAAGGGTTAGGAAACTCCAAATCATCAAAACATACTACAAATACAATTTTATGCACGTGTTTGAATCCTATGACAACTTATAAATAGTTACAACTATTGACAACAAATTCATTACACCAATTCTTACAAAGATTTAGGCGAGAGATACCAACTTAGCCTCACCAGAGCTTGAAAAAATATAAATAACTATGGGTGAGATAAAAATCATAATAACCAATATAGCTTATTTAATGTCCATTATCACAAATAACCATGCTAAAGTATAAAAGTAAGGTAATATCACGTATATATTAAAGTATGAAGAAATATAATCTTTTTAAAGCAATTCTGCATAAATATGCACTAGCATGATTGTCACACCCTAAAAATAGAGGGTGACCGGCACGGGTATGAACCTTTCACACATTCCCGTAAGCCTCAAAATGAATATTTATTTCATTTTACAAAAGAGGAGAACAAAATAACTCCTTTAAACTCATTATCATAAGAAAGTGTCGACTTTTTTTTTTAGTAGAAATTTCAGCAGAACCTCCCCTGTAACTAGGATCTCCCGAAAATTCTATAATAAAAATTTTACAGATAATAGTATAAATCAGGAGCGTAGCTCCTTCCAGCCAGCAACCAATATACAGACCAAAAATAAGGTTTATCAATAACCTATGTGGAGCATCTACTCTTTCTTTCAAATCAAAAGACATACAATTTCTATATTTACATTAAAGCAATAATACCAATCAAAAAGGTTCACCCACTGTAGCTAGTTGCCCTTTAGAGGTCGATGGTAGGATCAGCGTCAGCTAACAAATCTGAGACCAAAATAATTTTTTCCAGTGAATAGCATTCCCATGAAAAAGTTCTTAAAATTTTAATCAATAATCTCTAATAATGGTGTCAGCTAGTTAAAAGCAATTCCACAAAAATTTATAAACATGTAAGTCATAACCATATTTATAAAATAAGAGTAAATTGAAAACAATTTATGTTATCATGCTTAAACAAAACAACCTGCTCTCATATAACTCAAAGTGATACAATTTACTAGTCAAAATCAAGTAAATTTCAAAAATACATATTAATCAACATTTAAAATTTTGAGAACTCAACAGAATAGGTTACAAACGCGAACACACAGTTCACGAGGGTAAATAACCAAACGGGGCTTATGCCACAAAAACAAACGCGGACACATCAGTCCACGAGGGTAAGTAACCAAACGCAGCCGAAGCTACGAAACAAACGTAGACACACAGCCCACGAGGGTAAGTAACCAAACCCGGCTTAGGCCACGAAATCAAATGCAGGTACAAAGCCCACGAATACCAAACGTGAGAATAAAACTCACGAAACAAACTAGCTAGTGTTTAACCACAGCGCGCTACGGGCTAATGGAACTGCCGTTAGCAGCAGTGTTCTGTTTCGAGTTCTCTTAGAAATCCCGTTTCAAACATGCGAGAGAAATAATCATTTTTGAGTTCAAACTTTCATTCTCAAGATCAAACTCGCATGAATTACTTCAAATATATGAAACTTGCCAAATCGATACATCATAACGAATGTACAAACTTGTACTAATCATGTAACCAAGAAATTTTTGAAATTCAATAAGCAAAAGTGTTTTCATCAATATTAGAAATATATATTTCTTGAGAAAATGCACAAATCATAATATAACTATCCTTCATTGTTGTTTCAAAATTTCTAAAACTAACATAATTAAAAAAATGAAATATTTCAATAAAACATTTTTAATAAATAATTATAAGGAATGCTATTCACTTACTCGTCGGAGTTCCAAATTCCCAAAGATATTCTTCCTTTAATTCTTTTTCAAGGTCCTGTTCTTCCACACACCCTATAAGGATATAAATAAATATCCTTTCAATAACTTTTTTTTTATTACATAATCTCAACCAACCACCATCATTTAAATTTCCAAAATGAAAATTCATGCCTTAGAATTGATCAAAGTATTATTATCCATATCACTAGTCTCCTCTAAATTATTTTAACCATGCCAATCTATTTCTTTGAGACACAATTTTCTCTCAAGCTTTGCACCAAATGCCTTAGGTGCTTTACTTCTACCAATTCAATTTAAACATCCAACAATTTACTAATAACCTTACAATTCCCAAGAATTTAAATGGCTCCATACAAATTCATATTTAAATTCTTTTACAATCTATAAATCAATTTGTAGATCCAAAATTTTTCATACTAGCATATTTCTCACAAAGACTAATTAAATTTCAAAAATGCAAATCCAAGCCAACTCTCTTCCTGGACATTTTATCAAACACTATATGAGCATAAGTTATCAAGCTAATATTAACATTTTCTTTCAAGATTTCAGCTTCCTTAAACCTTACAATATCACTAATTCAAACATTTTTAATTAAACTCAATTACATACTATCAGCTCCTTCCTTATATAACCACTAATTTCAATTTAAAATCAAGCTTCCTCTTCTTATATAGCCATATATGGTCACGGACAGCAGCAAGGCTTAAGAAAAATAAAATTGCAACATCAACTCTATCCCTTCACCATCTCACATGCACAGAATTTTCTAAGGAGAAGAGATCAAAGATTCTCACCTTGGATAAACTAACAACACGCAAACCAAGAGGGGGAAGAGAATGTTCGTCTGCACAGTGAAAGAGAGGAAGATCGCTGTTGGCATAGAGAAGAGATGAGCAAACCAGTGATTGACTGAGCAAGCAAAACAAAAGAAGTAAGTTCTCCTATTCACCTGCACAGCCACGCCAATGATGAAGAAAAGGAAAAAAAATCGATCTGGAACAGAGGAGGAGGAAGACGTCACGTTTTTGTTGATCAAGGACGGATGAGACAACAGCAACGGCAAGCACGCCGGCGAGCTCATAACCACAAGCTACAGACTGAAAAACACGATAAGGAAGCTCGAGTTACTTGCACAGTTTTACAGACGATAAGATAAGGGAGGATGACGCAAAATAGAGGAGAGCACTACCAGCCCATTTATCCTTTCCCACGGTGAAGACTCCGGCGTTTATGGAGTCACCGGCGACCAGTAGAGTGACAGAGCTGATGGCGGAGGATAGAAGTCCGGATGAGGGTTCGAATATTCTAGAAAATCCTCAAGCTCTCTCTCCACCGACCAGCACACACGGATCTGATAAAGAGAAAGAAAGAAGAGGAATATATCAGATTTGAAGAAGGGCATTTTGGTAATTTCACAGAATCAAAAATTGCAAAAGTAATTCTCCTTTTGGCCTCTATCAGTTTGAACTTGTGACCAAATGAGTGCATTACATGCACACTTCCACTACACCAACTTTACTTCTTGTCAAAATTACACCAACTTTTTTTAATATAATTTTTACTTAAAATTCTTGAGTTATTACAATGATCATCTAGTCGCCAAACCTCTAATGCTCCTCAACATGAAACCATAGGCTCTCCTAAATCAACCATTTGCTGACTTGAGCACACTTTTAGTGGTAGAAACACCTGCCAAAGGTAATCTAACCCACCTACGAACTATGATTTTCCCTCTTCACATACTTGTAATAAAGGTGTCGTTGACTCCTAACCACATCTTATCGAGTACTAGGGAGTTACCAAACTATTCGAATGTTCCATGATAACAGTCCCATAATATGCTGTACCAAATTACCCATGGTAACATCCCATATAATACTACACCAAATGTCCCATCGTGTCACCCGGATTATATGAATTTTTCACTCACATATCTTCATGCACACATATCCCCACATATCCTGGGTGAACTGCCACCCCCTATGCTCATTCACATTTCTATAATACATAATGTCATAATATATATATATATATATACTCATTTTCATAAATCAATGCTCATTTTGAAATTATTTTCCATACACATCATGCATAAAGACTCACAAACAACTATTTCTCATTTTGTATTTACTTTTACACAGTTATAATAGTTAATAAACACAATAAACTATATTGTTACCTCAATCCTTCTGTTTGCTAGAAAGGTTTACCCATGTTACTTTCTTACTCAAATCTCTTTCCACTTTTCTACTTCATCACTCACTAGAATCTACACAAAATTGGCATTCAGAGTCAATCTCTTTATTGATAAAAGTGCCAATTATCATATTTAAGCATTTAATCACTATCAAATTCACATTTCATACTCGATTATGCATATTACCACTGATTACCCCTCATTTCAAGCTTTAACATTTTCTAACAATTTTCTCTCAATACTCTTTCTCTAGACTAGGGCAATTCTTACCTACAGCTTTAAAGCTTTATTGTTTCGACTCAAACTGGTCACACAGCACTAGTTTAGTTTTGAGGAACCTTTCTATTACTATAGGGTAAGAAATCAACTCCTTAAAACTCTTAAATTTAATTTTAAACTAGTTAAAACTAAGAGAAAAATAGGGTAGAATCGGAGATTAAGGCAGTATATGACTTACCCAATAAGTAATAGGTTAGAAACACCATCCTTGCTCCTGATTATGCTTGTGCTAGCACATCCATTGCTCTTCTCCACACAAGAACTCTCCTCCCACGTTTCTCCCTTCTATTTCATGAGCTGGACATGTCCCTATTAATCTAATTTCTATACCATGTGCTGCGGTGCATCTACCTCCCACCGTAATGTGTGGCATAGTGAGGGAAATCCTTACAATATTCACACACTGTGCTTTAATGTATATATTCATATAACATCCTAGTGGATCAAAATAACATTTCACTACTCAAAAACCTATTCCTATATTAAATCACTAATTCTTCCTAATCAGTCATTAACGCAAGATTAGAAATTCGAGATGTTACACATATTAGGGTATATCACTCAGTGAGAGAGACTCTTACCTCTGCTAACTTCCTAATCTTCAAATTTTACTCTGATCTTTAGTAAGTTTAGTTAATTCTTTTAACAAACTCATATTGTCCCTTTTAAGGAAATAAAGGTGTGTATATAGTAAATAGTTACTTTCAAAATGCAATGTACCAATTAAATAATCCTACTTGTCATACTTGTCTTTTATTTCTTTTTTTCTCCAAGTTTGTTTAATACTTATCCATTCATTCACTGATTTCTTTTCCTCCAAGTTTTTTAATCCTTATACATTCATTCCCTCATTTCTTTTTATTTGTAATTCATTATTGTCATTATATTTATTTAGTTAACTATTATTTTATTTTTTTTAAAGATATTTATAGAATTGATATGTCCTTATTTCTTCAATTGCTTATTCACTTCATTTTAGGCAAACATGTACACATGTATACTATATAGATCCAAAGTTAATTAAAATACTATTACTATATATATTTTTTAGGATATTACATAGAACCTTTGGCTGAGTCAATCCTTATAATTGGTAAGCTTGGGCTTGTTTAGTCACATAGACTTGGTCTATAAGGTATGGTTCTAACTTTGGTTGAGGTTAATGGCACATGGTATGAGAATTGAACACCTTGGGCCTATGTTTAGTAAGAAAAGAGATTGTTGTGTGTTAGGACATCTAACTTTTAAATGAGAACTTATTTTAGGGTGAGGTTTATATAATTAGCTAGGTAGATGAATAATCTACATGTGATCTCTTGAATTACCTATATTGGATGTCGGATGGAGAAGTAGTGCATGCCGAAAGTTTATTCTGAGTGTTGTCATGACAACTTTTCTTGCTTGTTTGTCATGCTTCCAAATGTTTTAATACTCTAATTCAGAAAGGTTTGAACTCAAACAACATTAAAAATATTGTTTTAAACTTGAGATCTTAATTTCACTACAAAAAAATAGTGGATTAGTGATGGGATTTTTCATCACTCATCAATGCAAATTCTATCATCTATTGATAAAAACACCATCACTAATTAACAAAATTTAAAATTTCATTGCTAACACTAAACATGGATAAGCTATTTCAATTCTGCGATGTAATGCATTCCGTCATTAATTCGTTACAAATGAAAATTCCATAAAAGATCATTATTGTCATATCACCTGGCGGGCCAGTACCACCTTATCGCCATAGTACTACCACCTCTATACCGCTTTGCCTCCATGTCATACATTAACTTCAAATGAGCTCAAATATGCCTTGGCCAAGTTAGAACCCATAACCTCGCACCTTTGTGAGGCCTTTGCATCCAACCTTCCTGCCAATTGAATTAAAGGATATCTTTAGTCTTTAATTGATAAATTAAATATAGAATATTTAACCACTCTCTTTGTCTCTCTCTCTCTCTCTCACACACATCAATAAATATATTAATTAAATATATATATTTATTTAACATTATTTGTATTTATCAATATGATAAATTAATTTTTTATATAATAATTATTTATAATATATTATATTTTTTAAAAAACTAGTATCTCATCTTGTGTGCATGGGAAGATATCGTGAAATTAGATTAAGACGAATGTTTGTTTAAAGTTTTGGGTTAATTAATAAAGTGAAGTAAAATATGAAGCATAATGATAATGATAGGCCAACAATGAAAAAGGAAGAATGACAGAGAGGTCCCAACATTATAGTCAATTCAAGTTGGGTCTCAAGTGTTGAATTTCAAGAGTTTTGCAACTCAATTTCTTAATTTTGCAACTCTATTATAATAAATTTGTAACTTGTATTCTAAATTTTAATAGGAAAAATAATTTTTTCTACTCTTTAACCACATTAAAATTTGGAACAAGTTGTAAATTCATCACAACATAGTTGCAAAATTAAAAAATTGAGTTACAAATTTTTGGAGCTTGGCATTTGGAACCCAACTTGAACTAATTGATCATTTGGGACTCTTTGCCATTCTCTCGATGAAAAATTAAACCATCCCAAAATCCCAACAATATGTTACACACAAATAAAAGTAAAAACTTAATTTGAGAGTAATGAGGTCAATAATATTCATTGAAATAGTTATGCATAACAAAGGCAAAGGAAATGAATCAAAGAAGCAGTACTGTTGTGTCTTTCATGTAACAACTCAACTTTGATCTTTTTTTTTTAATAATTGAATGTTCTTATATAATTAGCGATTTTTTTTACCAGTTACATAATTAGAAAGTTTGGTATGAAAGAAATTTAGTGCTTTTGAAAATAAAGAAAAAGACAGGGTGTAAAGAACCAAATAAAACCTAGAAAGTAAATACTTGCAAAAAAAGTACACTGTTGCAACAGACACATAAATGTGAGGCATCGCTTTTCAAACTGAACATGTCTTCGAATTTTGATAAAAAACAAAAAGAGGGCCATTTTGAAATTTTATTGTTCAAGTACTATTCATGGTTCGCCAACTTTTAGATATAAGATTGATCATTATTTTTGATAAAAATTTAATATTAAATTGAACAAATATTTTATTATTGCTATATATTATAATTTTTATAATATATTATAGTTTATATTTTTAAAATATTTTTATTTTTAAATAACAATAATTAGGTATGTTATCAGAACTATAAAAATAATTAAAGATATAATTTAAATTATTTAAATTATTATTAATATTTAAATAATTTAAAATAATAAATTATAGTTATTAAATTGTTTATGTATTGCATAATAAAAATTATCAAAAAAATAATATATAAATATATGTTATAAACCATATATTAAAATTTAAAACAACTTGCAATGGAATTATGACGGAAAGGTTTTTGATAGAATTTTTCATCGTAAATGCTATCACAAAATGAGAATCATGTATCCTGAAAATTAGTGATGGATATTTCTGTCAAAAAAGTCTATTCCTAAAGTATTTCTGATGGTTTAGTGATAAAATTGCGATATAATTTTTATTTATCATTAAAATTATTTCTTATAGTTTAGCAATAGCAACTAATTTTTTAGCAATGAAATGTTCTGTCGCTAAATTCCGTTGGTAAATTACTGATGGATTGATGGAAATTTATTTTGTCACTAAATCACTACTTTTTGTAGTGCTTGATAAGATTTTAATTATTATATAAGTTTTATCTTTTTTTTATCATGATAATACTTAATGGTAGTTAGTGAATCCCCTAATTACCATGAGAGTAATTGTGTGGTTGGTGTCCTGATAATATAAAGGAGACATATACATAAGCTATCCCTAAATTTTGATCAGAATGGAAGTGTTCTGATGATTAGGTGGAGGTTAATTGAAGAACAATAATGATAAGGGTTTAAAGGTGGAGGTTGATAGTGGTGGAGAGGATTTCTTTGGTGTCTCTACTAGCATGTCTAAGCCAAACTCTAATCACCTTGTAATTATGGCTAATGGGATAATTGGGAGGTAA